AACGGGGCTGTGCGTAGCGTCGTTTCTCCGCGTATTCACTGACACTGTCAAGGGGCGCAATGCATTTTTGTTCTAAATTATAACTACGGTATTCATAAGTGAAACATAGAAGGCTGAACACGAACCAGGGTTTATGGGAATTAACAAAGTTCCTGAAATGTTGGACTTTTATTTGCGTATCTTCAGTGGGCACGAATATCTTGTGATTTAGGGAGTCATACACGTATTAAAAATTAGTAATATTGATGAACTTTTTTCATAAAAAAAAAGAATTCAGAAAAATTAAAGGTATTATAGGTATTTTATTAAACCCCTACGACTTTGATGAAGTCTTTGGTTGTAGAATACATCTTGCCTTATTTTAAGATTACATATCAGTTACAAATAATAAAGAAAATATACTCGTATGTGCTGCTGTAGGAATACTAAAAATAAGATTATAAATTTAAAGAATACTTAATTACTATATTAAGCAGTAATACTTCTTGAATTCACGAGAACACAATTAATTCTAGGAATAAGTCACATCTTCCATTAACTATACTATAATGTATTAAACAATGTCATTAATAATTAATGCATTTGTAAAGATACTATGGATGTTTTATGAAAATGCAAATGTGCGAACTCAATTGTCTAGACATTTGATCGGAAGGATAATGCTCCGAATGTCTTGTTAGAACGAGAAATATCAAAAGGAGAAGGACAATGTGGTGCACGGCAATTACGCTAGCCAACTACAAATGCAAGTGGATGTACCCTAAAATCAACATCTGCTCATGAGTATCGCTGCTTAGAAGTTTTAAAGGCAGAAGCCATTTTCGTACACCGAGGATGCACTCCACAAAGCTAAACAGCAATCTTTCCCCGCTGAATTATTTTACCCAGATCAAGTTAAAGCTCTGGCTACATTGAGAAGGTGTTCGGCTGATAGAGCAGTGTTTCATCTTATAGAATATGATTCTTTCTGAGTTCATATTTTTCGAACCACCAAATAAACTTATATAAAAAGTCCATTGGTGAACAACATGCCTACTTATGGCCAGATGCAACAGGAAAGGTTGCGAAAAAAATTCGCCATGTAGATGATTCTTATTCGCAATATCTATTTGTGAATTTAGCCCTGATGCTTTGCGCAGTTTGACAATTTCTGTAACAGAAATGGTCTCAGAAGGTCAAAGAAATGTCACTATATCATCATGACTAAAAAATGGGTAAACTTTGAAGCTCGCTGTCCAAAGAAAGTAGTGAGTACACTATTGTCTATATACAGTAATTGTAATTTGTTCTAAAATATAAGACGACACAAAAGCTAACATATTCACTATACACTTACTTGTTTTCAGGGTTGCGATTATTCTAAGGCACTACTAAATGTTTGTTCTTGGTCTTTCTGTGGATTCTTGACGAATGAACTATACGTATATGCAGATAGCATGCATGCATGGATTAATGCAGGAATGAATAATATTCATCTTCGTTAAAAACATTTATTTTTCGAATGTTAAAAATTTCAAAAAATTGTTCGGAGTCTTAAAATCTGTACAATAATATAATTATGAAAATGAAACGTTTTTTCTTAACAAAATGTATTCACCAAAAACAGATATTCAAATACGATCATGTTGAAGAAGAGAGACAATTATGGGATTCGAACACGGATAATTCAGACAAATTGCTCATTGGTCAGGGGTAATGGTTTGGGAGGAACGGTCTGCGCAGGGTCACAATAAGAGGGACCATTCTGAGATTCGAACCCAACTGAATAATACTAACTGCTTCGCAGTACGTTTCTTATTATAGATTATATTTAGTACTTGTTTATTGCAAATTTTGGCATAGAGTATGACTTACATTCGGGAATTTATGGAAAATATGAAGGATTTTATTGAAAGGATAAAAAACGCATCTAAAGCTTTCTAGGGCCATTTATTTTTAAAGGGCAAAATGTTTCAAAGAAACCTTTCTTATTACATCGTAATCTACAGAATAAGGTATTCTTGGATATTATATTAAATTTTTACTGGTTCGACACTCATCGATAATACCAAGGCCACCTATATTTTAACCCTAGTGATGGTGGCCCTTTGGACGTTACTCTTAGAAGGCTTAGATTCCTCTATCTTATACTATTTACGCTTTCTGAGAACACAGTGGTTTGCGCAGACAGGCGAAGTTTTTTGCATAATTATTAATTATTCAAAAGGGGAGCAGATCACCTGCGCACGTTTTTTCGAATTCCAGAACTCCTTTCAATCATAAATCCCAACTATAAATAGTTGAAGAATGAATAAATGTTGAAGATAAATAAAAATAAAATTTGTGAAAAAAAGCGTGGAAATTTAGACATTTTTGTTTTCAAATTATAAACAAACTTATTTGAAACTGTAAACGAACTGATTCGGACGACTTTGATTCGTCCTACCACAACAAGCGGTAAATGTCGGGTAATTTCTTGGGTGTCCGCCTCTTGAGTCGTCTGCTCCGGCGTTTGCCGCTCAGTGGGGAATAGCGATCTTAGTATTCGTAGAATCCAGGAGGGGTCGTCCAGTCCTGGCGTCTGCCTCTTGAGGCCTAGTTTCTTCCTTGCCAGTTGGAAAAGTTTCCCCATGGGTCGAACTTCACCTCTTCTCTAAGGGAGAACCAACGTCGTCTTTTGCTGTCCTGTATGGATTCTTTCAATTTGTCATTGCACTGATAGAATTCTCTTTTTAGTAAAGGTCATCCTCTAGATCTTGTGTATCTCCTTCTCGCATTAAGACATTTCTTCCTAAGCTCTGAGATATTGTGACGTCATGGATACCCACAGTGACCACAGCCACAGAGCTTTCATATAACAAATATATTTATTAACAAGAAAACAAAACAAATATATACACTTAATATCCTACTTACACCCTAGCTCTGATAGACCTACTATCCCCTGATCGCGGGAGCGATCCAAACCCGATTGAAGATGGTTTTGATTGTGGCATTCGCCACTCCTACTTCTGAAGCGCTCACAAAGCATAGCTTCCGTGACCGGATGTCACGCTGGGACACTAAGTCCGTTCTGGCGCACCAACGGCTGGTTTGCCTCGATCGCAGGAGCGATCTTATCCGATTGAGAATCGGCGTGAATCGTGGCACTCAACCACTCTTCACCTTGGAGCACGCACACAGCGTCGCTCCCCCGTGACCGCAGTCACCCAAGGACATAAAGTCCGCAGGCTTCGTCAACTATTGACTCGAGACTCGCGAGCCTGGCTCGCATATGCACCGTCGTGGTGCCAAGTTTTGTGCACACGCACGAGGTTCTCCCACTGTCTCCAGAACCCACCCACTGGCTCTGTACACTCTGTTATATAGGCGGGGCCCACGTGACCTACTACGTCACGCCACCCCCTGGCTTGTTATAACAGTGAAAAGCTTCTATAAGTCGGAAGACATCCAAAGCCTTGTGTCTCCCGTCTCCGCGTTCTTCCCTTTACGGAAAAACCCTTCTTCCTGTGTCGAGGCTAATCCTCTCCCAAGCGTCCCCAAATAGATGCCACGAGGCACGCTGGCTAATATGTTACAATATCTTCAGTCCACCCGTACATTGGTTTCCTGTTTAGATGCGAGTGGTTTTTGGGGATTGCAATGTTGCATGCTTCTTTGATAGTTTTTATGACATACTTAGCATGTGTCTTCAGATTTTCTTCTTTCTCGGTCCACCTCATTTCGTTGAGGATCTTCCTTTCTTCCAGAAAAGCAATCATTACTCTGTCGTTGTATTTCTTGACATTCCATGATGTCGAGAAATTATTTTTGTTTCCGGCTTCTCCCGACCGATTGCTGTTTGTGTCAATGAAGAACTCTATATACATATGATCACGTAGTGTGATCTCTTCGAGGACTGCCCAGTTTCGTATTTGGCTTGCCACTCTGTTGATGGTCAGAGTCAGGTCAATAATAGAGCTGGAGCATCCTCTACGAAACGTTGCTGTTCCGTCAGTGTTCATCACAATGAGGTTTTTACATGAGCACATATGTTACCAGCGACCCTATTCTATCGGATTTAGGGGATTGCCACAGTGTTGATTTGGCGTTGAAGTCGCCCCCGACGATGATTTCTCCTTTTGCCGTTGCTATTGAGTCTTCAAGGTTTCCGATATTTCTCTCGAAGGTATCCAGAGCGTCGTTTGAAGAGAAGTAGCAACTGTAAAACCCTATGTTGTTTATCTCGACCGATACGAAGCCCTCGTTCCCCTTGCAGAAATCCTAAATGAGGAAATTCTTATTGATTAGTTTTCCTACCACCTCTATTACTGCTATTACTACTACATTTGTTTAGCAGATTGGAATAATACTACAAACTTCATTGTCACTCACAATCGCTTGTAGTTTTCATTCGTTAAAATATCACTACATAATATATTAATTTACACCTCACATTCTATAAAAAATCAAAAGATTTATTGGATCGAAATTATGGAAACCTGGCAGTACAGATTGCGGATTTCTTTAGAATTCCACGAAAATGTGTTTATAGCTCATTATCTTAGGAAATTATTCGACATTACTGTAAATAATCAGCAACATTAAACAGTGTGAACTTCTATAACCTCAAATTAACCAGGGTATACTCAGTCATATAGCCAGGATAACTTTTTCAAACCAATAATTACACAATTATATTGAAACTTGAAAACAATATTTTTCAAATAACAAATAAATATATGTCACTGCAGTTTTAGGACGGCCGCTTAACTGTTCTAACGTCGCTATTTTTACGCTTGGTACTAAACCTTGTGTCATTTTCTTTAAAGACTCTCTTAGTAGACTAGCCGCTTAAATAATTTAGTATTATTTTGTAATAAAGCATGGTGACCTGCGAAAAAATGTACAACGCAACAGCTATGTCCTGTTTCACTCGCTTACTTTTCTTGGGGGATCAATACTAAAAATGAAAATATGCAAACATCCATATCAGGATCGAGGACGATTAAAAACATAGGAAGAGGTATGTATATTTTCAGAAATTGGAAAATTGTTGGAGAACTTTTAATGAATTTAAAATATAATTACATGACTAATTACATATTTTTTAATTTTTATTATATCATATTTCATGTTTGTTCTTTTATATATCAAATTAAAATAATTGTACCAATGAATCTATTTCAAGACAGTAGTTCTTGTTTCCATACTGATATTTGTGATAAATTGTTGGAGTCGATACGACGTTATCGATCTATTAAAATCGATATCGATTTCATATTGAAGAAAATACCATTGATTGTCCATGAATGGTCATTGAATACCATTGACCATTGAGGTATCATCGCCGTGACCTCGAAGCCGCCGCAGTCTCCTTCCTTGCAGGACGTGAGTACTATTTTGAAAAACAACTTTAGCAAGTGGGTAAATAGAACTCAGGTGGATTGCGTTGCAAACGATAACATTACTAATAATGACTACAGTGAAGAACATTTTCGTGGTTTTCTCATTGCTATTGGTCTATAGTAGTAAATTTGTTATGTTAAATTCAATGACCGAAATGCATACTTCTGTCTTCCCTTGCCTAAAAATACATTTTGTACTTAGTTCGATTTTTTGCTATTTTATATCTCAACCGTGACAGTCTTTTAGCATTGGCCTCCTTTGGAAGTGGTCAGATACTTGAAACAGTAATGGCCGAGTCAATTTTCTACTCCCTGTGTTTGAAACTAAAAATATATAGAAAAAACAACGTAAATTGTTATATTATTGCAATATCAATATGAATAAGATATTTTCAGTTTATTCTTTAATTATTAAATAAGGGAAAATAAATCAATTCTTGTTGTCTAAATCGTCATCTCTAGAAGACCACGTTCTGCATGTTTGAAGTTCGTTGGAAGCGGCCATTCTTATTTTGCAAATCTTGTGATTGGCTGGCACAATGTCCACTATTGGGGTCGTTACCCTAATGGGTGGGATTCAAAAACTTGAACATATTAAGTTAGTTCAGTTATATGAGCTTATCAAAAGAGTGGCCTGTTTGATAGGGCCAATTTGAGTCGCCTTGCTCACGCTTTTTTTATGACGACAGCTATACTTCCACCTTCGGCCTCCACGAATAACATAAAGTATCTTAAATTCCGACGCATTTTACACCGAAATATATCGGGCTAATATAAGTACGGTATTTTCTCTCGCGTAACTACTCCTTAAGTATCGCTACTCCTAAAGTTTACGACTTTGATGGTTTGAAGTTCGAAGAAGTCCTTCGTATGCCTTTCTTTGGAGGAAAGGTAAAGCCAGTTGTCCCATTTTGTATATTTACTGCATGTAAAAGATCGTCAAAACATGCAAAAAAAGCCTCTGAGCTAAATTCTAATAGCCTTCGTTTTCCGAGTTATTCCTTTTTTGCCACTAGATGGCAAAAGGAGCGTAACAAAATTTGCGCAGTGTGGCGGAAGAGATGTTCTTGCCACGCCACGCAATTGAAGTTGAAGTTGCCTTGTTTTTGGCGAGACTCGGGCAATCAAGCCCGCTCTTCCGTCTGACCACGTAAATTTCGCTACGCTCCTTTCATCAACTAGCAGAGAAAGGAGGTATTTCTTGGGCGATAAACAGGCGAATGAATTAGAATTTAGCTCAGAGGCGTCATTTAGGCTTGAGAATCTTTTACATGCAAGTAAATCTACTAACATGGGACAGCCGGCTTTACTTCCCCTCCGAAAGAAGGCGTACGAAGGTTTTTTTCGCCCCTAACAATCCACGGCTTCGATCGGGTTTGAACCCGCCAACCTGGGTACTATAGTCCGATACGCTAACCGTTGCACCATCGTCGCCGCTATATAAGGCGCAATTGAATTAAAGTATAGAAATACACGTATTCCACTCGTGTTCCATTTATCCACTTGCTTTAGCTGCGTTGGCTTGCAAAGGCGGCGGTGCGCGTGCTCAGGGAATGACGCGCATGTGCCGGCGCTCGGGGACGGCCACCTCGTAGGGCTCGTCGCCGCCCTCGCTCACCCACACGCTGCCGCTGGGCGCATTCAGCAGCAGGTGCAGCATGGCGCCCGCCACCGGCGCCACCCTGCCAGGCACAAAATACCCCGTCTATCAGCGTTAATTATCGGTATTACTGTCAGACATATGACTTTCACACATATAAGCACAATGTAAAAGATGCGGAGGATAAACAGGGATATAGGGATAATTGGCCAAATGTAAAATATTAAAAAGGGTGATAGGAACAAGAGTGTTCCTTACAGAAGATTTTATTGAGATTTAAATAATAATTAGATGATTGATTAATAAATTAGCAAGGGAAGAAAAGGACAAAGAAGGTATTGGAATAAGAGTGTTTGGATCAATGGGATCAAGACAATGTGGGCTGGGATGGTGTTTTGAAAGAATAAAAGATTTCAAAAAGCGGATAAATGTTAAAGGGAGGGAGGGAAAGAAACATAAGGATGGAAGAGAATTGAGAGCATAGAAGAAAAGGCTCCAAGAATGAGAAGGAATGTGAAGATTGGGTTGTGAAAGGTTGTAGTATTAAGAGGAAAGAAATGGGAGTTTTGGGAGGAGATCGTGAAAGGTGTGATTAAAACATGGATTGAAGAGAAAGATAAAGATAAATGAATGGAATGGCTTTCTTAGTGGTTATTGGTGAAAATTCAACATGCTTGTCGAGAAAGTAAAACAGGAAGAGCGGAGAGTGATAGTAATTAGGGTGAGAAAGGAATTGCAGGAAGTAGAATGGAATGCAGGATACCTTATGAATGGGCAGTAGGATTATCTTAAAGGGAAAGTGTGGTCACGTATTATTTATATTAATTTTCTAATGGATGAAAAGGAACGAAAATAATTATATGTTTGGAGGAGATTTTAATGCTAGGACAGACCAAGAGGAAAGGTGGAAAGGGATGATAATAAAGACAAGGGTGGATATTTTAAGAATAAAATATTGAATTCAGAAAGACAGACATTGTAGATTCTTAGGAGAGAGAGCAAATGAAATGACAATTGTAGGAAAAGATATAGAATTGAAAGAATGACTTGTGACATTCAAGAATATATACTAATCTTTTTGGATATTAGTGGCAGTAGACCTACAAAGGATCATGAAGTCGTTGGCTTCCGCGGCCAGAGTCATGTGCGTAATCTGGGCTGTGACGCTGCGTCGATGTATGATACCAGCTCTGAGGAAGACCACGAAAAGATGGTCGAAACGTCGGCAACACAGCCTTCGACGCGGCGTCACCCGGACAGCGAAGATCACGTACAAAGGATCGTAACATATCATAATTCCTACATGATGGTCGTTCAAGTCAATCATAAACAAAGTTTATTTCGATGGGAATGTTTCTCAAGTGGCCATGTGAGCGGCGAATGACGAAATTGCGCTGAACATGTTAATTTCCGGAGTCAACTGCTGTATTTACAGCAACGGCAGAGGTGTGTGAAGGATGCATCCAAACAAGAGTGTTATTGTTATTTAGTTTGGTGCACGGAAGGTGTGGCGGCAAGTAAAAGGTTTTCTTGAATGCAAGTCACGTAGGGGGAAGCATGCTTCAAAGGAAACTTTATAGGCCTATCCAGTTTCCGAGACGTTCCATCACCACGGCCTTCATCCATCTTCACGGAAGGAATCAAAGAACTTGAATCATTAACCTGAACAACAGATGTGATTTTCTGTAGTCACGTTCGAAGCCACGTTTCTATGCTTCTTATGTGAGATACTTTCTCGATAAATTATCTTTATTTTTATATCTTACCCTTTTATATCTAAGACTAAAAGCAATATGTAAGATGGGAGGACTTGCTTTTGGCTCGGCAACTCTGCGAGTTCCTTCTCCATTACTGGCAAGATCTCCGGGAGGAGGCACTTTGGTTGGCCCGGGGCGATGAGATTTGTCTCTGTCACTCCGGGGCACATTGTCAGCACTCGGACGCCAGTACGCTCCACGTGGTACGGGGCCTGCAACCGTGCAATAGGATTACCTGGAATTAAAACATGGTTAACTGAGGGCTACGTTATGAGTCCTAGTGAGCGAGGAGTCAAGGTGGACTCTATCTATTGAAGAAAATTCCTCGTACAACGAAAATATTAGTAGAATACTGTGCATACTATCAATATATTATTTCCGTTTGCAACATCCTTTTTCTCAAAGAATGAGAGCCTTGAGTGATGAATAAGCACACTAACATTATGGTAAAATACTGCTATTTAAAAAAATTAAGCTAAAAGAAAACATGCGCAATTTATCCGTGCTCAGTAATTGACTTCTATCCGTCCATGTGCCTATCCGTCACTCATTGTTAGACTCCTTCCGATCTACTAATCGAGATGAATGAGATGTCAATCGACGCGTCTCCATCTCCTCGAGGCGAACTATTCATTTCTTGCGTATGCATATAGAACTTCTAAGTGATTTCTTCCAAAACGTATTTTTCAAAGTAACTAAAACTTCTATTGATGATTGACGCCTCCTTCAGTCGTGACCAATAGCCCATTCGATTCCTATCGACTAAAACAAAACGATCTGCATAATTATTAAGCGGTTCCCTCTGGGATATTCTCGAAGACCCCTACACACATACCTGTTTTGAAGATTTCAATGCTCCTAAGTGTACATGGACAAGCCGGACACATGTACTAAGTATAAAATTTATTTTTGTGAGCTCGCAAAGAACAAATGAAACTTTTTAAAATGAAAATTCCCTCCGGAAGGACGATGCTACACTCTACTACGCTGATACACACGTAATTGCTCAGGGGCATGCCAGCTCCGACTGAGAACGTACACCGGTTGAAAAGGCCTAGGGCAAGTCTGGACTATGACCGACGTCACTAGCTACGTCGAACTCTACCACTATCTGGACGGTAATTCTAGTAGCGGGCAGCTCTAGACGAATGCCGAAGCCATAACGGCCCAGGCGATGGACCGCGCCCGATCTTTCCTGCCTGGTTTTTGGCCCCTCTCTCCTATTATACCGACACTCTTATTCCTAAACCCACCTCTACCTCGTGTTGAAATTTCAGTCAAAAGCGTAGAGTTCGTTCCACACGGGATGTCGGGGCGCTACTCTGATTACGGTTTGACCTAGAGAAAGAAATCCCCGTGAACTGACGGGTAGATCAGCACCGGATCTCCGGACTGGCGGAGGAATAGCGTCACCTTCAGAGAAATGGCATGCGCTTTACTTACGGTACTGATGCTATTTGAATTCAGGCGCTTGGAATTGTGAAATAACCAGTCAATGGAGAGCTTAGACTTGTAGAGGGTAAGCGATGACAGGAGGCGCACCCTCGTGCTTGTGGTAGCTCGCGACCACTGCACGTGAGAATGTTTCGAATGGGTTTGCTGGTAGAATATATTCTCTTTCAAATCTAATTAGTGATACGTCGGTGATACTCGAAACCTCATACCAATCAGGAGCTTAGAGCTTGTTCCGGTTATCTACCTAGTTTGGTCGAATTCAGCCAGTGTTTGGAGGAGAATTCTAGCGGTCAGCTTGTCTGATCGGTAGTTTTCCGTGGTTTTCCGATCAACAAAGGCTAATGCCGGGCAGTAGCGTCAGAAACGGGCTATGGACTGCGTGCAATCGTTCCTTCCTCTTCCTTCTTCTATCATGCGCTCGTACTTTCCCGCACATACACTTACATGCACTACACTACAATGCTTGTCCGAAGCCTAGAGCTTGTTCCTGGGGCTGCACCCCGCTGGTGGGAGATACCTGGTTAGGGAAAATTCCCACAAGCTGACCTTAGTCGGCGCCGAATCTCGCCAGCAAGCGGGAAGATCATTGGTACGCCCAGTGATAAAATCACGCATTACACTTCCGGGACTTACGACGTTATCTGTTGACGCGATCGGAATTACTAATCGATCATGTTGAAATGTATGAATTCCTGAAGTAATTGCGATTTATATGGTACATTTGGCGTGAAGGATGATCGAAAGGGAATGACTCAGAGCTCATTTGCCTTGAGAGATTAAGACCAATAAATACAACTATCCCCCCGGTGTGAAAATATGTCGAACCGTTCAAGCGTGTGTAGTGTAAAACTCTGCCACATTCAAACTAACCAAACCTTCCTTTAATGTGCCGCCGGAGTAAAAATAAGAGTACTGGGATTCGGAAACCCCTTGTAATCCTGAGTAAAAAATGTGATAATTTTGTGACACACAAAGACTGTGTAGAATTTTAAATTTCGTGCTTCATTTAATAATTTACATTCAGTGGAATCTGAAATGTTTAAAAATTAATCATTTTGTTGGATCTTACCATTTATGAAGATTTTTTGCGATGCATTTTCTTTTATTAAAGTAATCTAATTTTTTAGTTTATTTGACTTACATTATATTATTTCGATAATTTAAAAATAAAAATTATATATTTTAATTCTGTTATATTTCATTTGACTTTTTATTGCCAAAATCCAAATATCACTTATTCATTCAATTTCATTCTTATCAATTTCATTTATAATACGTTAAGGAAAGATAACAATTTTTACTATTTATAAAGAGATCATTGACACTAAACCCGTACTGTGCTACTGGTAGATAGGAAATTGCACCCCAGCGGTGTTTCAAATAGTTAACCATGAAATCTGTAATTGCACATATTTCGATATAAAGATTGTATACTTTACATTACTTCCTACCTATTTACTTTAAAGATATATAAGGAATATATATTTTACATTTTCGGGGATATCCGAACTGTTAAAGAGGGATCGGAAACTTTCGAAGTTTAGTACCAGTATGAAAATATTCTCGATTTTTAAACAATGATTTAAAAACGTGCATAATGTTCACTCAAAGAAAAACAGAAATATTCTTTACGAAGGTTACATTTCAAATTACTTAAAAACTGCCTTCTTGATATGCTTTTTAATTTCATGGAAGGTCCATTGATTTTTTAAGGCAGACAGTATAACAAACGTTATTAAACAATTTTTGCATAAAAAATTGTTTAATTAAGTTTGTTTCACTGTCTGCGTTAAAAAATTAATGAACCTTCCAAGAAATTAAATAACAGTAATAATTTAAAATTATATTATCTCTAGAATAACAACAAATAACAGTTACAACAACAACAAGAAATATCGCAATTATCTTACCCCACAAGCACGCCCCCATCCCACCACGGCGTGTTTAGTTGCTGTGTATACGGGAATGCTGGAGAGGTGGGTTAGGCCTAGAATTGAAGCAATGTTCACCACGGTGCCCCCGTCGCCGCCCTCCTGTTTGCCCATATGCTTCCAGGCCAGCAGGGTCCCTCGGATGATTCCTTTCTGTAAGAAAAAAACATTTGAAGGTCTAGGGGGCAGTAAACATTCCTTAAAAGCGTAGTAGGCTCTTAGAAGTTCTCTTACTTATTATTATATTTATTGTTAATTTATAATGTTATAACAATAAAAAATTCGTGTTTATCGAGTAGTGACAGTGTTGCAGCCCTTGAACAATGTACAACCCAGAAGGGGTGGAGGCACGTGAGGCAACTTGCCACGACTTAATTGGGGCCCGAAATCTTGTTTATTTTAAATTTAAAAAATTACTACTACTTCTAATTCAAATCAACATCTACATGTTATTTCTGTTGCAAGAAGAAATTAAATCTGTTCATATACGGGGGTGGGACTTTTGTTTCAAAATAGATCTACTGACTCATGCCTCATATTTTCTCTGGGCGCCTCTAACCCTGACATGAAATGTGGTCTAACAATCGGACCTATTAGAAATTATTTGGTTTATCTACAAAGTTATGTCTACGACAATGACGCTGATGGCAATCCAGAAAAAAATATTCTGTTTAGGTTTTGTAATATTATTTTCAATTTGTCTTGACACAAGAATAATAAAATTGATGGATCGTACACGTTTCTTGGTTATACACAGTAATTGCATGTGTCGTTAAGTGTTTTATCTGAATGGGTGGACATTGTGAATTTCTTACCATATTCACATCAACGCAGAGATTCCAGTCTTCATCGTTAACGATGCCAGCACTATTGATAAAAATGTCCAGGCGGTTGAAGTGCTTCTTGGTTGCAATGAAGGCGGCTGTTAAATGTAAACTAGTCATAATTACTTCAAAATATTACAATAATTATAACCCTTTTCAATTATTGAGCAGAGTAATGTAATTTTCAAGGTCAAAAAGTTGCCAAGGCCGGTAAAGGAGTGGTAAGACTCAACGGATAAATTTTATTCAATGCCTAGATGAATGTATATTTATTTTGAAATAAATTAAGCTTTAGAAATAAGAACAATGCGAATATTTTATTTATTATAAATGTAAAAGAAAATGTTTATAACATTGTGAAGGCTTTGTCCTGGGAGGAACAGTTCAAGATTGTTTTGTGGAACTAGGGGGTGATATCAATATTACCACTCCCGCAGAACTTCACTTGTAAATTTTCCAATACCGGAATGTTTGACGTATTAGAGCCCACTTTAAGAAAATTATAATCCTCAACAACAGATAGATGACTTCATAACAGTGTTTCTATTAGAAAATATGTTTAATTTTTTTATTCTATACTAAATCGCATGTTGTCTCGTCTCCATAAGGTGTTAATTAAAGTACTATTTTCTTATTCGGCGTTGATGTAGAGCATATCTAAGTAGGGGATAATTTACATTAATTTTGTATGTTTAAAAGGTGTGTATTTAAATAATTATTTATATATTTGAATGTTGGAGAAGTGGTTACATTTTTTGCATCTTACGTTAAAAATTAAGAAATTAGTTAAGTATGCAAAACTATTTTTTCAATGTTTTCGAGATCGTGGTTTGATATCAAATTACTTTTAAACACACTTCCTTTGAGATATCTATTGAAAGGTTTAATAATGAATATAAATTGCCTGATCGGTTCGAATCAAAATATTTTTTTCTAAAATAAAAAAACAATAAAATACAGAAATATTCTTTTTACTACGTTCACTAACTAATATGCAAACTTAAATCTGAATCTTTCTATTAATATGTACTAAAAAGTTTTAAATTTGACGTCTCTTCTTTCGAATCGACATTTACCCGCACGTTCCAATTTTACCCATAAAAACATGGCGTCTTCCCTTTCAAAAAAAAAAAAGCTTCCAATACGACGGGCACATTGCCACTTTATGGATATCTATTGTTATATCTAGTTGCCTCACACTCTTACACTTTCTATCGATTTCTAGCTGCAATCGATAGATCGAATACCATTCTCACTTCCGAACGACAAAATGAACTATTTTTTGTTTTTTTAAATTTAAGTTCGCATCAACTTCTAGGTCATTAGCGAACAGTATTCCGTGTAACGATATGGTAACTGTGAGGATGACACAATATAATGATGATAGGGGGTGAAAGAACGAACTCAATACAACCATGAGGGACTCGAACCCGCGATCCTTCGGTCCGAGATCGCTACGGTACTACTGCTTTAGCGACCTCAGTCATCCGGACCATCATAATGAACTATTACGTTTCATTTCAAGCATAACTCGTAAAATTTGTTTAAGTAGAAGAAAGCTTACATTCATTTCTAACCGAAAACCTTTGGTGTTATAAATTTACAGATTACCTTCCATTTTGGCGTCCTCGCGCGCGTCTGCTTGAACGAAGAAGCATCGCTTGGCTCCAAACTCCTTCTGGAACTTCGCAGCGGCGGCCAATCCAGTCACTGAAGACACGTCGCATATTGCCACCTGTGACAGCAAAGACAAGGATACCCTGCATTTATTTAAGTTATTTTTCGAAAGTCTTTAAAATAAATTGGAAGTGAGGGCTGTAAAGGGAATCTCAAAAAATAGTTCATAGAAGCAGAAGGCTTATGCAGTGGACGAGAAAAGATACGTGTAAAATAAATGTTTTTTTACGTCTCAACGTCAATGGGTTAATAAGTATTGCCAATCAACTACCGGTACGTCACAAATGATTATTGTCAAAATGTGATCATCACAACTGAAAGAAACGTAACCGAAGGTTATTCGAGAGAGAGAGAGGAGAGAGAGGAGAGAGAAAGGAGAGAGAGGAGAGAGGAGAGAGAGGAGAAGAGAGGAGAGAGAGAGAGCAGAGGAGAGAGAGGAGGAGAGAGGAGAGAGAGAGAGAGAGGAGAGGAGAGAGAGAGGCGGAAGAGAGCGAGAGAGAGAGAGAGCGGAGAGAGCGAGAGAGCGAGAGAAGAAGAGCGAAGAGCGAGAGAACGAGAGGCGAGAGGAGGAAAAAGCGAGAGACGCGAGAGAGAGAGAGCGAGAGAGAGAGCGGAGAGAGAGAGCGAGAAGGAGAGAGCGAAGGAGAGAGAGCGCAGAGAGATGAGCGCGAGAGAGAGAGCGAGAGAGAGAGAGCGAAGAAGAGAGAGAGCGAGAGAGAGAGCGAGAGAGAGGCGAGGAGAGAGGCGAGAGGCGGAGAGCGAGAGGAGAGAGCGAGAGAGAGCAGAGAGAGAGAGCGAGAGAGCGAGAGAAGAGAGCGAGAGAGAAGCGAAGAGAGCGAGAGGCGAGAGAGCGAGCAGAGCGAGAGAGCGAAAGCGAGAGGGAGAGAGCGAAGAGAGAGACGAGACCGGAGAGAGAGACGGAGAGAAGAAGAGAGGAGAACGCTACAGAGAGCGAGAGCAGAGAGCCGAGAGAGACGCGAGAGCAGAGGAGACGAGAGAGAGACGCGAGAGAGACAGCCGAGAGAGAGAGAGCAGATGAGAGAAGCGAAGAGAGAGAGAGCGAGTAGAGGAGAGAGAGCGAGGAGAGAGAGAAGCAGAAGAGAGCGAGAGACGATGAGAGCGAAGAGAAGACGAGAGGAGAGCAGAGCGAGAGACGAGGAGCGAGAAGAGAGAGCGAGAGAGCGAAGCAGAGAGAGAGCGGAGAGAGCAGAGGAGAGCAGAGGAGAGAGGAGGAGAGAGAGAGAGCAGGAGAGAGAAGAGGCGAGATCAGTAGAGCGAAGACGAGAGCGAGAGCAGCAGAGAGCGAAGAGAGGGAGAGAGAGAGAGGAGCGGAGAGGAGAGGAGAAGGAAGGCGAAGAGGAGAGCGAGAGAGAGCGAGAGAGAGAGCGAGACGAGAGAGCTCAGAAAGACAGAGGAGAGAGACAGAGATGCAGAGAGAAGCAGAGACGAGACACAGAAAGACCAGAAGAGACACAGAAGACAGGAGACAGAGACACAGAGAAGCAGAACACAGAGAGAGAGACAGAGACACAGAGCGACACAGAGACTGAGAGGCACACAGAGAGAGACGCGACACACACACAGAGGAGACAACAGAGAATCATTTTTTTGAGTGGAGGTAAAATTAATTCCTTAAATAATAAAAATATCCTTTAACAGATTCTAATTCATCAGTATGTGATCAATTGATAAGAAATCAATGTTACAAATAGATTAAGCTACCGAAGCGGGAAAAATCATTCTTCTGGAAGATTTCAAATCTTTTATAGTATCAATTAACGCTAATTATGATAGAAAGTATTAAATAATTGATATTTCTTACAATTGCAAAACCTTTAGCGTAAAAATAGGCCTGTTTTAAACTGGTCTCGCCGGTATAGCATGTCTTGCGGGGCAAAATGTTACGCCACTGCATGCACTACACTACCACTCACGTCGAGAGACCAGGCGGGAGCTTAGAGCTTCTCCCAACTGAGGCGCTGCCCCGCTAGTAGTAGATACCCGGATGGGGAAACCTTCAAGCTGACGTGAAGGTCTGCGCCGTATCTCACCATCCGGTGTGAAAAGATCTTTAGTGATTAAACATTCTCTACAGTTATGGAACTAATGACAATAACTATTCGCGCGTTGAGAAACACGCAATGAATGAATCGAATGAAGTTGCTGTTGGTACTCACATTGGCCCCCGCGCGCAACAGCTCCGCCGCTGTGCCGAGGCCGATGCCGCTGGCCCCGCCCAGCACCAGCGCCGCCTGGCCTTGCAACGTCATGCCTGCACAGAAGAGCGGCCATGAGAATGTGGAGGGGAAGGAAACATTAACCACGGCGATGGCCGCTCGTTTCTGTTATTCAGCAAAATTTTAATAAGTCTTTCCTTGAGCGCATTTCCAGGTTGGGGATTGTGAGACCAAGATGATATGTCACAATTTTGAATGTGACAAAAGTAATAAGATAAAATAAGAGTTAAATCAGATTTACTTAGGTAAGATTAGAGTTTGTAAAGCCAGAAGTATTTTAAATCAAAATTATTTTTAATGTACACTTAGGCTTCCGCGGCTCAAGTTCATGATTTCTAGGCTGTCCGGGTGACGTATTCTAATAAAATATTTCTTATAAATGTTAATATTTGCAAAGCAAGAAACACCAGCTTTGTCGATTGCGTTATCACTTGGGGGGAAACACACGTCAATACAAAATATTATTTCCACGTAATTTTGGTATGTTTTCCAATCCAACGAAATGAAATTAATGTGTGTATTTTTAAAACATTTTTTTGTTTCACGTAACTATATTTTTATTTTCGGAAGACGAGCAATGCACACAATATTTTTCAGATGTCATCGGAATAAAATCCTTATTCACCCGCTTGCAGACCTATGCAAATACTGTTTACACTAATCTATTAAGGATCACTAGCAAACTACCTGTCATAAAACATTTCAAAATTGTAATTGTTAATATTGTTTCTTAATTTCGTAAAACTTCAAAAACTTATATCACGATAATCTAAAAAAACGAATAGGGAGCCTCTTCTGTAAAATATCGTTGCAAAAATGTATTTTGCTAATTTCTATAAATTTTTTACATTATTTTCATTTTTTTACTTTTTATATATTTTACACAAAATTGCCAATTACTGAATATAAATTATTGAATATATGTCAACTAACGGATTCTCAGTATTATTGCATTGTATACTTATAATTTTTTATTTTTTAATTTTTTATAAGTATTATAAACAATATAAAAATAAATTTTTACCTTTTTTGATTTTGGAAAACTTAAAAAAAACTTATAACTTGATAACTGATTTTGAAAAATCCCTAAGAAAGCCTCTAAGAAGGAGAAATGTTCGCTATTGCTGTTGCCTTCGCGACCAGATCTTCAGGGTCACTATTGCGTTGCTCTTACTTAATACTGCGGGTTCCGGAAGAGATAATAAATATTTCAACATTAACTCGAATATATATTGCATATTATGAAATAGAAATGAAGAAATGACTGCGGTTTCAAAAGCGCTGTCTATGGAATACATCAATATACTGGCAATTGTAATTAGATTATGTGTCATTAGTTAATAACACTATATTATCCTATGAAAAGTAAGACAATAATTTATACTATAAGGAAAATATTTTTAATTTTTTCTCAGCGCCAAATTCAAACGCAAAAAAAATTGAAACAAAATTTTTTAGTATCTTAGAACTGTGGAACAGGCTTGAAAAAATATCAAAAATTCCTCTTAAAACACAAATTGTAGTAAATTTTCTCATATTTTTATTACTACTGCACTTTAGTTTTAAAAAAACATTTTTACCATTTCCCGCTTTAAATCACCGTGCCTTTAAATATATATTGAATATGACTGCAACACTTCTGTACATAATTTTAGCATTCATTGTACATTTGTATGCATTGTTGTAGCACCCAGTAATATTTTGGGTTAGAAATGTGGTTACATATTGTAACGAATATTGCGTCATCTGCCGGCGCCCCCCCCAAACTGGATGGTTCCGGGCTATTCGCGAGGGGCGTGGAAAGGTGGAGTAAGTGCTGGTTGTGTCGAGACGAGCGCCGGCCAGGTATAAATTCGCCGCTGCGGGCGGCCGCGAGACGTAGTGTAAGTATGTCAGTGTAAGTAGGCGGAAGTAAGCAGCCGCGAAACAGTTAGTGTATGTAATCAATGAATAAGCAGTCAGTCCGTCAGTGTGTCTGAAGTGGAAGCTGTACTGTAAAGTGTGCATTGCGGTGAACAGTGGTGCAGTGGGTGAACAGCAGTCTGAAGTCTGCATGGAAGCTGAGCTGTGAAATGTGCATCGCGGTAAACAGCAGTGTAGTGGACCGTGGTCTGCCCGTGAATTGTGTTCGGCACTGTGAATTGTGGTTGCGCAGTGAATGGTGGTCTGCACAGTGGATGTGGTCAGCGCAGTGGACCGTGAACAGTGCATAGGACTGTGCGATAGTGTAGATTGCAGAGAACAGTGTAAATAAATAATCAAGAGAACGGAGTCGTGTGTAAGAAAAATAATTACGTGAATAGCACAAGAACTGTGTAATATACCTGTAAATAGATCAACCAGTTTTAGTGTATGATTCTTTACAAATAAACTTTGTTGTTAAATTTTACCCGCGTGTGTTTTAATTCACGTGTGGTCAGTGCCAAAACTGGCAACACAGTGATTTCAAAATCCTTCGAATGCCCTTGTTGACGGTCATCATCACTGTATGGTGTAGATAATAACCTCAGGAAAGAGAATAAATTTAACTTAGATTTAACAAACAATGTTTTTCTTTAGGAAGTGTTTGTCTCCGATCAGCCATTGAGGCTCACTTCAATGTAATCAAGGAACGCCTGCGCGAAGTTATTCTTGCTTTTCAAGATTATGTGCTACAAATATTGTGATGGTGAAATTTATTTCTGTTTTCTATTCTTAAAAGTAAGAAATGTCTACTTTTCCTGGCAATCGAAATACATGCAGATCTATGCAACACACCAGATACGATTCGTTTCAATTTATTGAATTGAAAATTTTAAAATAATAGCTGAGGTGCTAATAGGGCAGAAATTGCAATATTACAGCATTGCGTAGCTATTTACAACAGATTCCGTGGTGGTAGCAGATGTCTTGTAAATCCATAATATGGTAAAGGAAATAATCGTCCACAAAAGGTTTCATAATTTTTATTAATTATTAACCAGAGTTAATTTTCGCGAAACACTTTTACCATCCTCAGTCGGTCTCTAGCAAGGAGGAGAAAATTGAAACATTAACACAAGTTGACCCACGAAGGATAGGAAACGTGTTTCCCGAAAGTTAACTCTGGGTAATAATAAAAATTATTAAACCTTTTGTGGATGATTATTTCCTTTACCGTATTATTTACAACGGTGCCAGAAAGAAAGTGCTATTTTAGCACCTCTAGTGTCTTAAAAAAGGTATATACTATTTTATATAATTATGCGAAAATAAGTGTCGAAATTACCACAGAAAAATCATTTGGGGATACCTAAATAAGTAAAAGGGTTTTGGTTACCGTTTATTTATCTTGTAGAAGTTTATAGTTATCCATAACGTTTTGTGTGAGTAGAACATACCCTTAATAATATGGTCTAGGTCTGATTTTCAATAAAATTCATTTTAAATTTCGAACATAGAAAAGGTACAAAACTTTTGATATCCTCCCACAACTACAATATCATACATACATATATAATTCTTTCTTAATGCAATCTATTGTTGACTTGAATTGAATTATGCAATCTATTATTGAATTATTATTATTGAATATTGATTATATCTTTGAAACATCTAATGCATGTGTTCATTCAAACGATAGTAGTTAACGCATAATTTTGAATTATTTTGTGACAATGTTAAAATATTTTCGAATCCAGTTTACTAGCAGTCCAAAGCGAGCAAAAAGAAAAGAAATGTAATGTATACTAAAAAATGTAGTAATGTATAAAAACGTTCCCAATGTAAGTAAATATTAATGATGTGGAAAATGTGTCAGAATATTACCGTTGTGTAATTTTTTTAAAAACTGAACATCAAAATGGCGTTGAAGTCATGTTTATTAGCAAACTTAGCAGTATTCCTACTGAATGTTTAAGCCAAACATTTGAAGCCTTTTTGAGAAATATTTGTTGTTGTTTTTTAATATTTCTCGAATTTCTCTCAAAATTACGCGAAATCTGCTAATATTTTGAAAAATATTGTATCATGTTTATTAACGTACTCTTTGTGAAAAACTAGTTTCATCTAAAAAACTCCATTTTCAATTTTGTAGTTGTATGTCGACGCCCAAAGAATTTAATCTTGGATAATTTTCGAAAATTCAGAGATGATCGTGAAAATTGACCAATGCCATCTTCAACAGGATATTTCACTGTATTCTTGAATGGAGTGGAATAAGAATGGTAAAAAATAGATTTGGAGCCATTTTTGAGAATATTGGAAAATGTCCCAAATATTTTAAATAAAGTACCTCGAATATTTAAAAAAATATTTTAAAGATTGCAGAACCACGGGTCGGGTCAGATTGGTCAAGATATGTTCATTTTGACAAAAAGCCTACATACTCTACGAATGGTTTACGCTCTAGTGCTGCTCATAGACAGACGGATGAACATTTGAAGAAAACTGTTTTTAGGTATCAGAAGACCCCTAAACGTGCATATCCGGTGAAATATCAAAACCCAGTTACCACAGCATTACAAAACTTTTTACTTATAGGGGAAAGTAAAAATAAATAAATTCACTGTTCACAGACAACAGAGCAGGTTACAGTCAAGATTGCAGGTTACAGGCTTTACAAAGGACCGCTTCAAGTTTTGTGCGAGAATAATTGAAAGTTCAAACTCACAAATGTGAAATTGTATCTGTCAATTTGTTCTTTCTCGTTTTTACTTGTTTAAAATACCTCTTTATATCAACATCTCCTAAAATGCGTTTAAATGTTGCCCATCTCTTAAAACACCGAAGCCAAAAACCTGCCCCTCAGAATGCAGTTGCAGTGTATTTGCATTTATACTGCAATAAACACATATATACGCCAATATGCACTTAGGAAACCCTATGTAACATGATTGACGATTAATTAAAGTGATTACAGTATTCTGCGCTACGAAAAGTAAAACATTTCAAGATTTCATCTACGAGAAATATTTCGTCGTCATTTTTAGACGATCAGAATACTGCGTATTCAATAAAAATCTACAATTTCATTGCCAATAATACATGACATTTTTACTACAAAACATTAAAAGGCCGTTTCGAACGTTGTGTTCCTCTTGGTAAGAACAAATGCGTGGTT